TATTATTCGGGAATGATGGATCGTAACCTGGAGGAGATCGACTGCAGTTTTTGCACAAATAATTTCAAACGAACGATCAAAGTGAGGAGAATGCTTGAGATTTTGGAAGGAAAGGCCTATCAGGAAGAGAGAATTTGATGGTTTTATGTCCACCTCTTGTCAGAAGGCTACGTTTATGCTTTTTCTATTTTATATTTGACATTTGACAGTTGGTCAAGCTTGCGAGAGAGCGCTTGCGAGAGAGACAAGAGCGTAGCCCTCTGGTGACGAGCACGGGAGATGGCGCCACAAACTCTTTTCTCTACAATTTAGATAGCGATACAAAGTGTCTGGCTGAGGAGATTTGCAAAGGAAATTCGAGAAACTGACGACTGAAATCTGGTGTGACAAGTGTTTAGATCGTTGATACTTAAAAAGATTGCATTACCATAGAATATTGAAGTAGGCTCACCTATAGGATTTTTCATGACTGAACACTTGATTTCTGAGTAAATTCACCCTTTACACCCCTAATCTGATCGACTGACCGAGTGCATACTCACTCTCTATCACGTTCGTAATAAACGGAGTACCGTGCAAGCCTCGTGGAACAGTACAGAGTCACGTAAAACACGTTACGCCGGGGGATGCAGAAACTTTGACGACAGGAGGTCGCAGAGCCGCGAGCGAAACTGGCCAAAATTTCAATGAAACGTCCTTAAAGGACAAAAGAGCCACTTTATGGGGATTTGGTCCCTAAAAGGCATACGCCTACGCACTTTTACTAGGGAACCATGAGGAAATGAGTGGTTGTATCTCGTGGCGGCCCTTTGAGAGTCCTCCAAAAGGATTCCAAGCTCCATATCTCTTGCGAAAAGAAGGTTCGGAAAAGTACCTTCTGCACCAGAGAATTCGTTCCAAAGTAATAAAATGGTTCGATCGTTGGAATTATTATCCAAACGTTTCATTATTTAGTGTGCTATCTGTTAGGGGCTAGATAACACGTTTTGAAGCTGCATTCGTTCTATCTTTGATGCTACTCTGGCATTTTCCATATCCAACGATGACCACCTGATCTCCATTTCTCTCGTTAGACCACACAATCCACCAAAAATCATTTATCCGTGTCTGCTTCTTTCGATCATCCTAATCACAGTTGCTGTATTTCTGTCTTGAGCCCACCTGAAATGCACCTAGTTCTTATAGACTCTATCTACTCCAAAGAATGCAACAATATTCCATGTTGTCTTCCTTGTCGTTGAGTTTAATTTCTTCTTTAAACATCGTTCGTATTTCTGGTCCTTCTTGTCTTGTATTTTTTTTCTACTTTTCTTCTCTTGCTCGACTCTTCTTCGACCAACTTCTTCGTCAAGATGGCTGTACGTAGCTTCTATTTACTTTGACAATATTACCGCTTCGTTCCTGGAGAGATCAGAGATATTAGTGGATATTAGCGTGGGATATTGTTATGGAATATAACGAATGATCGATGAGAACGACAAGTGTTTACCTTGGCGTGAAACTCTACGTTTTCTAGTGGATGCGTGCATGGTTTTGGGCGAGAGAATATTCGAAACACGTGCAAATCCTACGCTACTAAGAATTGATAGCCCCGTACAACGAATAGCAAAGTGTTCTGAAGCGTTGCATCAGCTGGTTCCTTGTTTCTTTTCCATATCTCTTAATCGAGTAACGAAAGGGTCAGAGCTAGCGTAGCCGCGATCTCGAAAGAATCTCCACCATTTCTGGCACGACTACGGTACTAGGTGAATGGAGGCTCGATAGGGCAATGTAACAGGGTAACAGGGGTTAGAAGGAGTATTACAAGGGTCCCGAAGGCCCCTTCGACTTGGAACAAAGTGGAATCGGCCGTGTTCCCATCAGCTCCGGTAGCTCTATCGCTAAAACATTTCGTTTAAATTTCACGAACGATTTTAAAATCAATTGATCGACACGTTGTCAGTTCCTTCGCTTTGCTTCTCGATCGTTGGCTCGTTTCGATCTGAACGAAACTCGTACGCAAGGGGTAGAGCCGTGACACGCGTTTCGACATCGCGTGACAGAAGTGTCATTCATACTTCCAGGGTTAATCACGATGCAACACTCGTACGGTTCGAGTACCAAGCCAACAGGAAGGTTACAGAGCACCAACGACGATGTTTAGGGTGTTCATGTTCGAGCTACTCTCCCCTTTGCCCGACCATCGACGAACTAAGGCGTCCTCGTGCCACGTTGCACGTTATGTGTGGCTCTATAAGTATTTGTACGCCCCTGATCCAGCGTTTCTGTGGTTCTCCGGCGATTTAGGGCTGTTTCGACCTTCCCCCTCCTTCGTTGATGATCGAAATATCGCAAAGAAGAGACACAGAGGATGCATCGACTGATAATTCCGTGTTTAGGGCGATCGTGCAACATCCCCCGAGCAAACACGAGAGACATCTTAGGGGTGTTCGACATTGGGAAAGTATCAGAGCTGAGGAGGTTATTTCCACGGGGGTTAAATGACAATGGGGGATGCTGGGTGTATTGGTTTCGATTTACCAGGGCAACTTTGCTGGAAGGAACCCCCATCGAGCCTCGTCTATTGATTCAGGGGACTCACCGAACCACGTCGATCGATCGCCACGCGGGAGGGTTAAATCTGCTTGTTTCGTGATATTAGAGTAGACCAGTCACGGTTGTCACGGTGCAAATACTTCAAAATGTGTAATAAATATTAATTGATACGATACAATTAATATTTATTATAGAAATAACATTTTCTACTACTTTAAAATTGCAATTGAATGCACTTTTAGCAAATGTGAACCCTTCTTTCTCGTTTCGAATCTTCGATTTGGTGTTTTGTAAAGAAATTCAAAAATATGACAATATCAAAGGGAATCCTACAGTGCAAGTAAAACTAATGAAAAATGACTAAAATGATTTGTATACTTGTCACATTTCTGACGTCTAATCACGCAGAAATTTCACCCTTCTATCTATCAAAACGTTAATTTTATTTTATTTTTTTTTCATTATAGTGTCTTCTGATAAATATCCTAGTTTCCTAAAATCAGTTGCTCGTGTCAAACAATAATTCTAAAAATAAATGTCGTTTGCGTCAGTAGCTTCGTACGAAGTCCAAACTTGTACAAAATATGCAAGCTTTTTGACACGTTATCTCGAGTATTTTTTTACACCGTGACTCATTGTAACATAACATTACGTTAGTTCGTTTCACTTAGCTGTAATAGAAATAGTAAACATCCACGTTACGTTACGATTAGTCACAATGAATGGCCAAGTTCAAAGTCTCTGGATCAACGTAATGAGAGACTATAAAACAATGTATTTACGTAAATATGCGTGATCCAGAGATCAACGCTATAATCGTTGAAAACACTATATTTTTTTTAATAACACTATTTATCATTCTAGACTTTCTGAATCCTCTATTTCCTATTGTCATCGCTAGACTGCGGATTTTTATGCAAATTCATACATTTATTAATAAAATAAGAGCTTCGTAGTTCTTCCAACCTTTAAATACAATAATTCTTATCTTACTTGATAATATTTTGCATATTAAACGCATTCTATAGTTTTTTGACAATCTAAATTCCCCATAAATGCATAAATATCCGCAGTCTAGTCATCACCTGTCCCTTGTCTCCCTTACTCCAGTTATTCCCCTCCTTTCTACTCTTGTAACTCCTTCTTCAACCACTCATCTTCTCATTTTCCTTTTTTAACTCTTCTGCAACCCTAATTTCACCTCCCAGCAGTTGCTTATAACTAATTTACTAATCTCAATAACGTTGTTGACGGACAAACACCACTTTGTCACCTGGCAAACATTACTCATCCAAAACATCCTAGTCCAGATTTCTAATCCTCGCTCATCCTGAACCTCGTACCCTTCCCGAGTCACACTATCCTTCGACCATCGTCCCTACCTCTGTTGTCTCTTCTAACCGTAATAGAAATAGAAATAAAAATAAAGTGTAGCGACTATAGAAAGGAAATCTGAGTACTTTGTTCAATAACCAATTTCTACGAGATTGAAGTAACATTTTAAAATTTTAAGTTTATATGCGCATAAAGCTAACAAAATCGAGACTCGTCGAGGAAACGAGGCTTCTTGGACCAACGTGAGAGCGAGTGTCTCGCCGCCATCCGGCTCCGGAGAGACAAAACGCCCACGCGATCGGTTGGACGCGTCCCGGCCGCCTTTGATCGGTCTTAATTAGTCGTGAATTAGAAGGACGGAGAGTTCAGTGATTCCCTGGGTCCACGAACTGTTCGACACGTTCGACGGAATCTCGTGAACCAATCAAGAGGAAGAGGAACTACGAGGGCGAGGTCGAGAAGAGAAGAGAAGACCAGGTGTGGACCTTTTGTGACACCCAGAGCCCAGAGACGAACGTGGCTCGAGTCCGGTTTTCACGAGAGACGTTTTCTTTTCTACAGTGCTTCCCCTCCACAGCTTCCCGTGACTTTGTCGTCCCGTTCGAACGGGAACAACGAGAAACGGAACCAGAGTGGGGCAGAACGCCGCGCGATAAAGCGAACCAAGACCAGCCAGCATTTTTTAGCGATTAGTTGAGCGGTGGTTGCTCGATCGGCGAGCTCGTTTTTTCCACCGCGATAACACGCGTACACGTCCGTGACTTTGAACCCTCGAAACGTTCCTCCGACACGTTCTGGCCTCATCGAATTAACGCGAGCACGCGGTCTAAGCGCGACACGCGATCATCAAAACGTCTATGGATATCAGCTTGGTCTCGATGCAATTTCTAACCGAATTATGGTCATCGGTGAGGTTCACCATAAGTGTTAGAAGGATCCTCGAGGAAAAGTGTGTTTAATCTTGACTATTTCACCCGGTTTTGGGCGAGAATCTACTTGGCAAATATCGCTAGGAACGTCTATAGACACCAAATTGGTCTGGATGCAATTTCTAACCGAATTATGATCATCAGTGAGGTTCACGATAAGTGTTAGAAGGAATTTCGTGGAAAAGTGTGTTTATTCTTGATTATTCTCCCCGGTTTCGACGAGAATCTACTTGGCAAATATCGCTGGAACGTCTATAGACACCAACTTGGTCTCGATGCAATTTCTAACCGAATTATCGTCATCGATAAGGTTCACGATAAGTGTTCGAAGGAACCTCGAGGAAAAGTGTGTTTAATCTCAACTATTTCACCCAGTTTTAAAAAGAATCTACTTGGCAAATATCGCTGGGAACGTCTATCTCTACTAACTTGGTCTGAACGGCACTCTCTAACCGAATTATGGTCATCGTGAGGCTTGTGATAGATACCAGAAGGAACTTCGAGGAAAAGTGTGTTTGTTCTTGATTATTCTTCCCGGTTTTGACGAGAATTTCCTCGACGAGCGAGCGGATATTGAAAAAAGGAGGAACGAAAATATCGACGCCTGACGAAGAAGAATATTCTCCGCGTCGCTCGACGATACGTGCGTCCGAGTTTTCGTTTATTTTGCAACACCCTGTTTGTCTCGTGGTCTCTCCCCCCCCCCCCGTACCCGGCTATCACCGCTTGCGTCAATCAATTTTTTTTTCTAACGCTTTTGCTCCGCCGCTCGGCGGAGTTATCGAGACGCGGATCGGGAATCGAGAATGGCCAGAGCCGAAGCCGTACGCGACGACTCATCCTGCCCGGACACCATCGCGCAGAGATCATGAAGAGGAAGAAGATCGCTGCGAGATCGTTCGCCGACCACAGTGTAATTTTCGTACGAGTTTGACTGTTCGCGATCGCCGACCGTGAAAGCTAGAAATGTTGCTGAACGAGACGGTGCTGATATTCGCGGCCACCGCCAACATGTTCGCCACCCTAAAAGACAGGCCTGGCTCGCAGATCGTCGATAATAGCCTCGATACACGGAACGTGACCACCACTACTTTGTCACCGGAGGAGGAAGAGAATCGGTTCGACTTCAAGGACAGTGAGTACCGTGTGCATTGTTGCACGACAATCTCATAGGCCAACATAGATGCATCAGAATCATCCTTGCGCAAACATTCCTGGTCATAGGTTCCAAATTCCAGCCTCTCTAGCCTCCTCTGTACGCCACCATTGCTAGTGTTGGATTTCCTAGTCGTCTCACGTTGTTGCAAAAATCATCTAAAAAATTAGTGACGATTAGTACATGTCTGGAGTTTTGGTAAAGGGTTCTACGAACTCATGGTGTTTGTTATAGAAAGATAAGTGAAGTAACAGATCTCTCAGAGACAAGAACACGGAACTCTAAGATACACCTTTACGTATTAGTTAATAAAAGTAAATTATACCGTTAATTATCGTTGTTTCGATCGAATCATACGCCCCCATAGCCCTATCTTTTCTAATAGGGACCAACTACTGCGGCACTTAGGGTCGTACATGTCATCTTGCTCGAGGGTGCCATTCTAAGTCCATAACTGCACCATCTTTTTTCATTTTCCACACACACATATTAGAAGCAGGTGAATCAAGATATTAAAGACTCGAGTAAGACCTTTACCTGTTACGATACCTCGAAAAATGGCTTTCTAAACATTCTGACTATGGTCTGAGGCCCTTAGCTGCTCGTATTTCTGTCAATTCACTTATTGGGAGCCGAAACGTGTAAACCTTGACACCTGCTAGAGTTTACGACCTCGCTATATCGTGGCCCGGGCTATACAAATACACAGATGTTAGAAAATCGAAGCAAGCGAGCAGCTAAGAGGAGCCACATGCGTTTCTGTGAACACACGTGTTAGAAACGTTGAAATAAATAAATGTTTGAAGCTTCTGAGGCGTCTGAGGCTTCTCCTTGGCGCGTATCGGCCAGGACACTTGGAAAAAGGAGGTTCGTACTGTCAAGGATGCCCTCACGACCCTGGTCTTCTGTCAGGGTACAGAATTGTATTGGCTTTGGCCATGAACAGACACAGAATACAGTTTTAGAAAGTCCACGTGTCAATTAATAGACCCTTTCTTACACACGACTCCTCTGAAAGCAAAATTCCTTGAGAACAGGGGTGTCACGAAGAAACAAACAGTCACACTGACAAAAAGGCATATCCTCCTCAGGCTAGAAGCAAGAAATTCTTGCACCATCGCCTTGAACAGGTCATACAAGCAATAAAGAATCGAGTTTTATACTGAAAACGTCCACATAGTTCACCTGATTCTTACCTAGACCCATAAACGTGTCTCTAACATCTAAGCATCTGGTGTGACGTGATGTACCAAGGGTGGAAAAACGACGAACTTGGTTACGAATTCTAATTCACGAATTAGATAAGGCTATCGGGTCGAGCAGTGCACAAGACTAGTTAATGAACGCGAGATGCGTCGAGGAATGCATTTAGAAACTAAGAACACGAGACTGACGTCATTGGAGAGTCATCTATCGTAGGGAGTCGCGGCGGGTGGAATTCTTTCGCGGTGTAGAGAACGCCTCGACAACGAGAAACGTATTGCTTGCGCTCGCCAGGGGTTATCTCGCGTATTAATGTTATCTATGGACGATGTGTTTCTATCAGTTCCTCGAAGACTTTGCCACTGTTTTGTCTGGCTGTTGGATTAACGATTAGCGCGACGGAAGTTACACGCACGTGACTGTCCGGCCACTTACATTCACGTTCCTCTATTTCCCGCCCCCCACCACTTTTGATCTGTAACATATTTGCGATTAGAAATGTTCGATTGATGGTCGAACGAGGCTCTGTGCCTATCAACGTGTAGAAATATTTAATATCGTAGGTGTTGCGTTACTATTATGTCCGGAATATCCAATTTTTGTTCATTATTTGCACGAGGTAACATGTTCTTGTGTTTAATGCAGGGTTTAGGTCAGTTGCATGGTTCAAAAGGGTACATTATTCAGTGTAGTTACTCTTTTTGTAGGTGGAGGCATTCTTTTGAAAATTTTTTTTATAGAAAAATATGGAAGAATATGGAGAATTCTTAGTGAGAAAGTATCGATCTTTGTTAGCCCTAGATCTAACAGCCAACGAGTAATTTAGCTCCATTTTTTGACAATTTTTTTTCCGTGTAATATCGAGTAACGAGTGATAGTAACTGATGAGTAATTTCACTTTGTTTCTTGAGAATTTTCACTATTCTACAGAAATCTGTGTTGAGAGCTAATACGGATCCAACGCTTTTTTATTGAGAATTCCATGTTGTTCCATATTTTGGTATGAAAGGCACTCCATTTAAAAAACAAAAGACCTTCAAATTTCCAAAACACCTTCGCCTATAAAAAAAAGTAAACCTCTTTAAACTGTGTAACTTTTGTAGAGTTTTTGTGGATGTTTTTCGTTCTAACGCATATTTAGCAAGTTTCTTACATTAGACCAGTCCTCTATCGACCAACGAAGATGTTCCCGAGCAAATTCAATGGTTTCTTCGCTTCGTATCCGACCATAAATCCTGAAAAATACTAAAAATCATAGAGATAAGTGGTAATTGTAAACGTACTTGGATGAATTGTTTGATTCACAGGCTGGTACATGTGGAGGTGCTTCCAACCATACGGTTGCTTCTATCTCGGTACACCATGGTCCGGCGACAACAGACCGGTGTCCATGTTCCCGGATCGTCCGGACAGCATCAATCCTCGTTACTTGGTTTACACGCGCGACAATCCGGGACAGCCGTACGAGCTGAAAATCGACAAATTCGAAACGATCAAAGAATTACCATTACGGAAAAGGAGCAATCTCTACATCGTCGTTCACGGATTCCTCGACAACGGCGACAAAACTTGGGTCTTGGTACGTAATCTTGCCATTTTCAAAGTCACGCGAATTACACTATGAAAAGAATATATTTCACTAGAAAAAAATTCGAGAAAGTGAAATTTTTCGACGGAAAAAAAAAATTTCAAATCGTTCTAAAAAAATTATTCTCGGTTGCAGGGGTCGATTATAATCATTTTTGGTCATTATGCATACCCCCGGAATCTTGCGCAATTTCAAGAAAAAAAATCGCGAAGATGACTAAATTTTCGACGAAAAAGAAAAATTTCAAATCGTTCTAAAAAAAATATTCTCGGTTGCGGGAGTCGATTACGATCATTTTTGGTCGTTACATATACCCCTGAAATCCTACGCACTTTCGAGAAAAAAATTCCTTTACCGAAAATCTAAGGTGCCATTTTGCGACTGAAAAAAAAAATGTCAAATCGTTCTAAAAAAATTATTCTCGGTTGCAGGGGTCGATTATAATCATTTTTGGTGAATAGACATACCCCCGAAATCCTACGTATTTTCGAGAAAAAAATTCCTAATTGAAAATGTAATTTATGGCCAGAAATATTGGCCGAGAATTTCATGCGAATCTTTAAAATGTCATAACTTCTGAACGGATTGGACGATTTCAATGTTTCAAACGGCAAACAACGCGTATTTTGACGTATAATATGTGGAAATTCCAAAAATATTCAAAAAGTTATTCCTTCACTCTGCAAAATGAGAAAAACTCCATAAAAATGGTCCAAATTTTCAAATAGCCATAACTCCTACAATCGTGAATATATTTCAATGAAATTTTTTTCTAAACTGGAGCTCATGGATACCTACGAAAAAGTATTAGACAAAATTTCCGTTGAATGAAAAACGAATTTTTAAGAAAAATCGACAGGGGCTAGGTGCCTAAATTTCTCGGTGAAAAAAAAAATTTCGAATCGTTCTAAAAAAATTATTTCTAGATTCTGGAGTCAAATGCAACCATTTTTGGTGAATACACGTACCCCCGAAATCTTATCCACTTTCTAGAAAAAAATTCGAGAAGGTGTGAAATTTTTCGACGGAAAAAAAAAATTTCAAATCGTTCCAAAAAAATTATTTTCAGTTGGGGGAGTCAATTACAATCATTTTTGGTGAATAGACGTACCCCCGAAATCCTGCGCAGTTTCGAGAAAAAAATTCAGTAAGGTCGAAACTTTGAACGTTGATAACTTTTTAGCGAAGTTTCAAACGAAAAATTGATATTCTTGATTTTCGTCTTATTTTGGTCTCTAGAATCCCCCATTAAAATTTCTCACCCTGTATACGCAAAATCTAAGTACGAAACGATCTACCAATCGTTAAAAAAAAAATCACTAAAGAGCCCGAAAAAATGATAGTTTAAAGAGAAATACTCCTTTAAGTTTCAAACGACTATTTGAACTAACGATAAGAAATACTAGGTTTAATATTAATTTCCGGTTTAATTTGACCGTAGAAAACAATGACGGAGTTGCTGATTCGCGAAGATTGCAACGTGGTGATCGTGAACTGGATCGGTGGAGCTGGTCCACCTTACACGCAGGCTGTCGCCAACACGAGATTGGTCGGTGCAATGACGGCTCGTTTGGCGTCTCAATTGATCGAGATTGGCGGAATCGATTCATCGAAGATCCACTGTATAGGGCACAGCCTCGGTGCTCACACATGCGGCTATATCGGATACTTTATGAGACGTTCGTATCACCATCGTCTTGGACGAATCACGGGTAGGTGATCGAACAACTTTTACAAGCTTGGAATACTGTCGATCCTAAAAAATAACGTCAAATATTTCTTGCACGAGTAGGCTGTGGCACGATCGTGGGCCAAAGAGATTACTAACTTTGGAGATAGAGGGAATCAAAGTTCCCTCGACGGCTCGAAATTATCATTAATTATTTAATTCGTCGCGATGTAAGATTCGTAGAAATCAGCGTTGTAAACAATTACCAAAAGCTTGGACGCAAGCTCCGATTTATGACGGAGAAATGTTACAAAAAAGTTTTAAAAGTCTCGTCATGAGTATGGTAGCGTTTCCTTTTACCTAGGCTTTTAATTTATTGTCCCGCCGGACCGAAAAATGACTTCCGCCATTGCGCAATGTGGATGGTAACGCACCGCAAACCGTGCACGTTACGACGGTACGTGTGTGGTAATTCTTACGTGACACGCTCGTATGATATGGGCACCGTGACAAGGAGAAAATAGATTCAAAAACAACGGAGGCGACATTACGGAAAATTTCGTACCGAGAGACACAAAGGAAATGAATTTCGACGATCGCGGGTCGATTTTAAATCGTAAATCGATTCGGGAGACTTTACACTCGATTAAAATTGCAAAGAAAAAAAAAAGGATGCAAATTTAGGATTCTTGAACCGTTTTATGGATATAGCATTTGTCGGTTTGGGAAACTCTGTAAAATTATTGGAACAAATATGTAGCAAACTCTGATTCTGATTCTGATTCTATCGAATTGTGGTTGCAATAGGACCAGCAAAGCTGAAAGCTTGTGATGTTCTCGTTTTGTTTGTTAAAACAGGTCTCGATCCAGCGGAACCGCATTTTAGTAACACGTCGACTATGGTGCGGCTAGATCCGACAGACGCCACGTTCGTCACGGCCATTCACACCGATTGCAATCCTTTTATCAGCGGTGGCCTTGGTATCACCCAACCCGTCGCGCATATCGATTTCTATCCGAACGGCGGTCGCAATCAACCCGGTTGCAACGAGGGTGTCCTCAATTCTATAACCTTGGAACGTGGGAGCTTCTTTCGAGGTGAGATTTCCCCGTTTCGTAATCGTCTTTTACGAGAGAAAGGCGAATGAAAGACCAAAAACAAAGTGGAGTCCTGTGGATGAGATGGAAAAGGAAAAGAGAGAGAACGTATCCTTGATTTTGGTCTTATTTTGGCCTCTTCTAGACAATCTCCCATTAAAATTGTTCCCAAGGGTGGTCGAACACCCTGTATATACCAATGGGAGGTCGATCTAGCGCTTGCGAGAGGAACAGTCCCTCTGGTGGCAATTACAGGAGGCTATGGGCAACGAATTACTATAGTACCCCGAATATCCGATCAGAAAAGTGTAATCTTTCTTTTCCATTTCAGGCATCAAGAGATTTCTCAGCTGCAACCATATTCGCAGTTACGAATACTTCACGGAAAGTATCAACACGGCGTGTCCGTTCTTAGGGATTCCCTGCTCCTCCTGGGACAAGTTCCAAGAAGGCAGCTGCTTCGATTGCGTGAACCAGTACTGTCCGGAGTTTGGATTGGACGCCCAACCTGGGAATTACCACGCGTCCGTCTACTTAATGACAAGCTCGGAGAAGCCATATTGCAGTTAGTAATTAATTAGAAACGTTCGTTGAATTCCCGGATTGGAAGATCCTCCCTTGTAAATATGATATTCATCCAGAATCGATGCGTTTTGTGTAACGGTTACAGGGGGACACTATAGAGTGACGATAAACATCTCGAAAACGAACGAGAGCTTGGACCACGGCGGCGAGGTTGGCACGTTCGTGATACGAGTTGTCGGCGACAGCAATAAGAGGACCGAGAGGATGCAGCTCAGCTCGCAGTCGAAATACTACGAGCCAGGTAGCACCCACACGGTCGTTCTGCCCGGCGAGGTTGTGGGGAAACCGAAAGAGGTCGAAATTACCTGGGAGTATCACACTTCGTTCTTAAATGTGCTCACGTGGAGGCTTCTTCACACTCCGCGCGTCTACGTCGATTCGCTGGTCGTCGATAGTTTGGAATCCGCTCACGGGTACGTATTCGAAAATCATTCAGCGATTGCAACTCGTAGTTCGATGCACGATCATCTAAAAGTTATGTATACAGAATGTTTGGCCACCTGTGGGTGAAATTTTGTATCGTAAACTCAGTCAGCACGAGAAACCCTACTTACCGACGCGACTGAGAACCACTGGGACCAACCTACCGCGCGCACGCAACTGCACGCATGATCGCCGTTCTACAGGCGCAACTTTAAACGTTAATAACTTTTTAACGAAGCCTCGATCAACAAATTAATATTATTTTGGCCTCTGGAATCTTCCATTAAAATTTTTCCCCCGAGATGGCTGAACACAAATTTTTCTGGGATAACACACGTATTATTTATCCCTTTCTTGTTGATTCAGGATCACCGTATGCCCGGACGAAACGAAAATACTGATCGCCAACGAACCTAAAGTCTTCACAGTGGAGAATTGCCAAGATGCCGATTTAAACGTGGTCTTCGCGTAAGAGAAACTCAGCTCTTAATTCGTTTTGTCGAACTTTTAATTTATCAGCCATAATATACGTGAAAAGTTCAAATGTCGTGTTACCGTATAATAAACAAACTAATTAACGGTTCAACAGTTTTATAGTTCGTGGCTCAAACAGTTGTAATTATTACTTAAACCCATATTGTTTTACCATATAAGAAGCAGCGGAATTTTTTTTCTTCGACCGTACGCGTTTAGTTCACAATTTTTAAAATACATAGGGATCGATGATATATTATTGTATAAACTGTTTTCACAATTTTGTCAAATGTGAGTTTTGTATTGCTCCATTTTAGAGAAATAAATCAGATTTTTTCACTAGTATCGTACGTCACTTTCTCCCTGCAATGATTCTCCCTAGGTACTGTAACCTTACAGTTTCCAGGTCATGCATGCTAGACGCTAATGCATAGTGGAACGTATTTGGCACTATTGCCTTTTTCACCAGTCCCTTTTTCATCGACCGTTTGGTTGTCCAGGCATATAGCGTCCTGTATAAGCGACCAATAGTTTAAACTATAAGAGCAAGAACCACGACGACAGCTTTTCAAACTGTTAATTAATTTTTGTCACCCTTTCAAATAGTACGTATGTTCTTCTAAATTAAATATACCGTCCTGGTAGTTACAAGTTAATTCGCAAACGCGCCGAGGGAGGGCGGCAGTGGTCGTGTTCCGTAATGGAATCACGGCAACGTCACAACGTGGAAACACTTACTTTCATTCCCGAGACATCGACCAGCCGTACGTGACCAATCTACCGGCAATTTTGTTATATTGAAAACGGTAATTACGTTCGATCCGTGTAATTGCAATGCAGCATGCTAAACAACTCCGCAACGGTAATTTCCCCGGCCGGGAAAACGCGACCTTTCCGAATCGAGAGGAAACGTTTCCTGTTCTCCGTCTTCGTTGGCACGAGCGTAGCTAAATACGCGATCGTAATAGCGCCGGTTTCGCTCACGACCGCCAATAGCGAAGCCATCTTTCCTTTCACTGTCATTATGCACGCGCGTTGTTTCTTTCACCTTGGCAGCCGCTTTCATACGTCGCCGGTAAATCACCGCTCGAGGATCGGTAACCCCAACAATTTATAATCACGAGATACTCCTCTGCAAACCGAAGATCGATCACCGTATCGATCGTTAAAATAAAATTCGGCGAGCAAAACCTAGCGAACTAAAAATTTCTAAATATTATTGGAAAGGTGACGAATACGTATGAAAAACACCGATGCAACAGGTTGCATAGTTTCTAAAATACCAGAGAAAACCCGTTTGATAAAAACTTGACCCAGACCTAACCCCTAAGACTAAGACACAAGTGTCGAGATCGAGAATCGTAGATTCGAAGCCTGCGCAGAACCGATTCCAAGAATTTTGGAGATTCCCGGAATTTCTCGTAACGCGAAACCCCTTTAATAAAAACTTAACCCAGACCTAACCCCTAAGAGCAAGACACAAGTGTCGAGATCGAGTATCGTAGATTCGAAGCCTGCGCAGAACCGATTCCAAGAATTTTTGGAGATTCCCGGGATTTCTCGTAACGTCGCGAAATAATTTTCGAAACTTCCTCGAGGCCTGATCGTACGCGATGGGTGTCGTCCGGATCTTATTCACCTTGAACAATCGTACTTTCGATTTCTGGCACTCGTGAACGACCGGACAAACAAACCTAACCCCCAAAAACACGTTTCGCGCGTCCCGTTCGAGTCCTCCGGGGCGGAGTGAAAACACACCGCTTATGAAATTATCTTCTCGATGGTCGGAGAAAATTGTTCGCATTGTCCCGGGACGAGTGCACCGTGGGGCGGAGGAGGAGGGGGGGAGAAGAACACACACACCTGGTGGTGGGCGAAACTTTTCGGACCGAGCGGAATGCACATCACGGAGTCGTCGACGTTCAGTCGAGCCTCGGCCTCTCACCGCGTAGTGTCTCGTCCTCATTTCTTCGAGATCTGTTTTACCCGTTTCCCTGCAGTGTGTTCTATCGCGGAATCGCGTCGAGGTATCGGGGAACGGAATCGTGTGAGAATCGGTGATAGCGATCGAACCTGTGATGCGACACGTCTCCGTTGATCGAGTGCTCGCGAGGACCACACGCGAACGAGTTTGATACGAGATCCTGCCCGTTTGTCAGCCAGCAAACATGGGGGACCGTTCGAGGGCGACGTGAGGCCGTGACATGAAAGAGAAACTTCGAAAATGTATGTGCTTGTTTACTTATTAATCTGCCCCGCGCGAACAGCCTTGGCTTTCGAGACGATCCTGCCGCTTATTTATCAGCATATGCGATCGGTATTCGATCTACGTCTCTCCCGACTACGATAACATCTCTTTTCAACGCGGATACGACCGATCGTCGTTTGCATTAATTATCTCTAACATTTAATTCTTAATCTTTAAATTATTTTTGACTTTTCCTTTGACATTAATTATCTTTGTGAATGTACGTGTACGTTCCTAACCCTCCTGATCCTAACCCAATCTTGGAAGCGAGCGTCGAGCGTGTCGAGCGTAACTTGACGCCGATCGTTATCGATACACTGAATTGCATCTCGCAGACTCCCCTCTTTACGTCTCTCATTGTCACTTGAATTCGTAGAAATGACCTGCCCACTTAAGGACTTGTATAAAATGGAGAGTTTATATTTAAATGCTGCGAATAAATGTATTGCACGAGAACCATTATTGGGAACGTTATCAGCGAAACCAGCGGTTAATTGTTCGAATTATATTCGAAACCACCGAATCGAACGAATAAAATTTGAATATTTAAATAAATATCGATCGACGTCAGACTCGAAGAGGAACAACAACAACAAGCTCTCCTACGCAGTGTCTTCTTGACATTGTTATGGTCAAGGTCGATCTCCTCGCGTACGATCGCCGTAGATCGTGATTGCGATAGGCATTATTACTTCCACGTTGGATACGATCGACGGTTGTGCAATTTATTTGGAAAACGTGTATCTATTGTTGCGAATCCGCGTACCGAGTCGTTAGATGTGTCTCGCCGGGAACGTTAAATGCAACCGGTGAAAGCGGCGTTTGCAATGAATTCTTAATCAGCTATATTAATATGTTGTAGGAGAGTCGAGCGTATGTTGCTCATTGACCTTCTAATTTAGAAACGGATTCATGAAATTGCATACGCGTGTCAAGTTACAACATTTCAATGGAATTGATTGAAACGATTAAAAAAGATTACGAACGCCATTTTCCAAATCTATTATTCAATAGTTTTTTTCCTCTTATTCTATTATTCTAGAGAAACATGGGGTTGCGATTGAAGTGTTGTACCGAGTAAAAAATCTTAAATAAGTTTGGTCGTTAACGATTGGACTATCTAGTATAGAAACTCTATTTCCTTGTACGCTTTTACCTCCTTTCTCAAACGATATTAATACAAAATAACAGGTATACATGGTGTTCGACCAACCATGGGAAAAATTTTAATGGAGGATTCCAGAGGCCAAAATAAGACGAAAATCAAGAATATCAATTTCTTGACTGAGGCTTCGTTAAAAAGTTATTGACGTTTAAAGTTCCGACCATTCTGAATTTTTTTTCTTGAAAATGCGCAAGATTTCGGGGGTATGTCTATTCACCAAAAATGATTGTAATTGACCCCTGCAACCGAAAATAATTTTTCCAAAACGATTTGAAATTTTCTTTTTTCGTCGAAAAGTTTCACACCTTCTCGAATTTTTTTCTCGAACCTGGTTACGATTTCGGGGGTATGTCTATTCACCAAAAATGATTGTAATTGCCCCCCGTAACCGAAAATAATTTTTCCAGAACGATTTGAAATTGTTGAATTTAATTGTTAATAACTTTTTAACGAAGCCTCCATCAACAAATTGGTATTCTTGACTTTCATCTTATTTTGGCCTCTAGAATCTCCCATTAAAATTTTTCCCATGAGTGAATTAGAATTAGTGAAACATTTATCCTGATCTTTATCCTGATCCGCTAGGCCTTTATCAACGTATGTATCTGTTGTGATAGTCGTCACTCCGATCACGATTAAAATTTCTATTTACAGTCGAATATAATTCGGATTCACGACACGCAACACCTTTAAATAGCGCTTTAATACGCCGCCGTTGTATGTTTAAGTTTTTCGACGTATTGGCCAACAGGAAGTATCGATGTTCGATCTCGAATGTTAAAAGCGAATTTGTATGATTCTAAATCGACAGAGTATTAATTTATGCACTATCCTCTTCCTGGGTTGATTGTACCACGTATCACAGCAATGGCTACAATGAATTCAAACGTCGAAATCCTAATCGCTTATCCCAGAAGTGATACTTTTTTTTCTAAATATTTAACTAATTTACGATTCCATGTACGAGTATTTGACGAATAAAATATTCCTTTCACGACCATAACGTCCGAGGATTTTTTTAAAATTCGATATTCAAGATGGTTGCCATACAGCGTTCGATATTTAAAAAATTATCGATAATTCGTACGTTAGATCTTAATATCTGTCGTTTATGAAAAGATGACGTCCGATCAAGATGGAATCCGTCGAGTGAAAAGACCTTCGCGTGCAAAATGCCAAAGATTCACGGTGTGTAGGAAGTTTGGCTTCTTCACGCTTCGGTGGTCTTAAGCGGCACGCGATTTCGCCGGTACGTTTAACGCGAACGCGAAAAATCATTCGATCTCGGGGAATTACCGCGGAATTGCTCGTTCGCGGAATAGCGGAATCGTTAATAAATTTTTGTACGCCTCGAGCCGCGTCTCCTCGACGTTGAAATTATTCCTAGCGCGGTGGTCGATGATTTAAAAAAAAAAAGAAGAAAGAGTACCGAAGATAATTTTCTCTTTGGTCTTGTCTAACAGATTGTTTCGTTGTATTTTAATATCTATTATAATACCGTTATATATCATGTGTCGCTTCCGTTATACTACTCACAAAAAAAAGAAAGAAAATGAACAAATGAAAAATTCAATGGTTCCTAACGGTCAAGGGAAATGATGTTACCGACAGTGAGAGCAACCCTGTCGATAATTCAGGAGATTCAAAAGGGAGTGATTTTACCGACGAAGAAAGCAGTCCACGTGACATTCCAAGATGTCTTCTGCCCTATGTGTATCTACTAGCAGCTTATTATTTATCAGAATAAATTAATCGATCGGTGAAAAATTCCTAATTCAATTCGTACAAGAGAAATATCTTTAACATGTCTAGCTGGGTATCTACGTGTTCACGTAGGTTGCAAACCATTGATTACTATTTTAGACTACTTCCGACGAGGTATCG